CATTTGTAAAATCTTAGGAGTATGGTAGGTAGTTATGGGCGACATCACTGTATGAAGGAGCAAGAGACAGTAGGGAGGGAAAATGTTTTCACAAAGTTCAGTGAAATCAAATTCAGCCAGATCATTCTGAAAGTGTTGAAGAATGAAGGTAAGAAAATAATAATCATAAGAAATGGGGGGAAACTGCATTGCTTCTATAACAAACTATTTTTTTGATCAGTGACGCTGCTGATGTAGTGAGGCCACTACACTTCAACTCTAAAATCACAGTCCCCAATAGGTGACATTGAGAAAGTAGAAATGACACTACAAAAATAAAAAATGAGAAAAACAGCTGGACTGGAGCAAGTAGAGAGAAAATCCATGCTAAATGATGATCCATAATCATGAGGATGTTGAAGGATCAATTGCCCACACTTGAAAGTGGGGAGGATGACAAACCAAGCCCTTCAAAAAATTACACACTTTATTATCAAAAAGAGAAGAGTTACAAATTACTACTAAGTATTCCCATCCAGGTGCTTAACTGTCCAACCCAGATGCTAAGAACAATCTACATACACCAAGGGCATTCTTAAGAAAGGCATGAAAAGGAGGGGCAGCTAGGTGGCACTGGCCCTCAAGTCAGGAGGACCCGAGTTCAAATATGACCTCAGAACAAACACTAGCTGTGTGAACCTGGGCAAGTCACATGACCCCAATTGCCTATAAAAAAAAAAAATTTTTAAAGCATGAAAAGGGAACAAGCCAGTTTTCACAAATGACACTCTGTGACAAACCAAATCTTTAAAGGTAGAAGTTGTCTAAGAAGTCAAGAGAAGACCCTATAGCCAAATGGCAGCTATTAAAAAATGGGGGGAGGGAGCATTTCGATGAGCTAATACAAAATACAGCCTGAAAAGGCTGTTCTCCAAAAATATGTCTCCTATGCACATTTTAAAATCATATAAGATAAAATTATAAGATTCCTTGAGAGATGCAACAACAGAAATCACTGTCAGACAAAGTCTCTGTTATCAGTTAAGGCATGAAGCACACAAACATTCTTGTCTAAAGTATTTGTCATTGTCATGAAGGACATCTAGCACAAAGTTCCAATTGAAAAATGATTCCATATGGATAGTTAAATCTTCCAAATATTCCCCTTTGTCAGTGACTTGGCATTGATTCCCACAACTACACTAGAGGAGACACTGAGCCTTCTCAGAGAGATCCAAAATGATTCAAAGCATTTCTAACTATCCAGTTGGAAAAAGCCAAGTGAATGAAGAATGCTTGTTGTTCAGACTATAAAATGCAGTTAGATGGGCAGGTGATGCATCAGAATATGTATCTTGGACAATTATTGCAGTTGGACAATGAACTAGACCCAAAACTTAATAGAAGAATAAGCTGCATTGCATTTGGGAAACTGAGGAGTACTTTTACTGATTCCAAATGTCTCTCTAAAACAAAGAACCATATTTGCAACAATATTCTTTCAATTATTGTAGATAGCTATTGGATGTATTAAACTACAGTCACTGGGCCCTTACAGTGGCAGGTCACCCAGAGAGCAATGGAAAGGCATGCATACACAATTGTGGACATACATAGGCTATAACCTAAGTTTGCCTCCTTGCCAGGAGACTAGGAGAAAGAACTTGGAGAATGCTTCCTCACTCTGGCTTATCAGAATAGCTCAGTCCTTGACAAGATGGAAGAAATGAGTCAATGGGAAAACCAAACACAGAATCAAAGAGTAAGCTAAACTATCATCAGGCCATTAGAGGATAAAAGAATGAAACAGAGAAGGAAGAAAGGAAAAAGCTCTCTAAGCCATTAGAACTATATAAAGAACCTGAGACTCGTCCCACTGAGACCAGACCTGGCTCTTCTTGAGAAGAAAGTAGGATCCTGTGTTCCACAGAATGAAGCAGAAATAAAGAAATCCATTATTAGGCTGAGAAAAAGAGATCCTAGTATTCACAATTCCCTGTGAGGAGGGAGAGTTTACAAAAGAAAGGGTATATTGACCTGGTATGGCTAGTTGGGGGCCAGATAGGTGCCACAGTGGGTAGAGTCGCCAGGCCTGGAGCCAGGAAGACATCTTCCTGAGTTCCACTCTTGCCTCAGACATTTACTAGCTGTGTGACTGTGGGATGTACAAAACAAGCTCTGTACAGAAAAAAGTAGGAAGTGATCAACAGCGGTAAAGCACTACAATTAAGGATTAGGAAAGGCTTTCTATAAAAGGTAAGATTTCAGCTTGGTCTTGAAGGAAATGATGGAAGATAGGCAATGAGGACACAGAGCATTTCTGGCATGGGAGACAATCAGAGAAAATGTCCAGAACTGAGAGATGGCCTGTCTTTTCAGAGGAATGGCAAGGAGATTAGTGTTACTGGATCAAGAAGTATGTGGGCCTGGGGAAAGGGGAGTGAAAGAATGGGAGTGTAAATGGCAAGGAGTCTAGGTTATGAAAAGCTTTAAACACCAGAAGATTTTATATTTTATCCTGGAGGTAATAGGGGGGCCACTGGAGTTTACTGAGGTGGGGGGTGGGGGGGGCGGGGTGTGACCTGTGCTTTAGGAAAATCACTTTGGTGACTGAATGGAGGATAGACTAAGAGGAGAGAAATTTGTCCCTGTGAGACCAACCACTTAAAATAGTCTAGGTACGAAGAGATGAGGGCTTTGCGCCAGAGTGGCAGTGCAAAAGAAAGAGGGTGAATTCAGGAAATGTTATGAAAGTGAAATCAACAGGCCTTGACAATAGACTGGAGAGTCTGGGAGGGTGAGTTGAGGATGACACTTAGTTTGAGCATCTGGAGGACTGGGAGGATGATGTTGCCCTCAAAAGTAGGAGGGAAGTTTGGAAGTGAGGAGTGTTTGGGGAGAGAGAGAGAGAATGAGTTCTGTTTTGGTCATGTTGTGTTTAAGATGTCTGCAGGAAATCCCATTTGAGATATCTAATAGGTATCTGGAGATAACTAGAAATCAGCAGAGGTGTTAGGGTGGCATAAGTAGATTGGAGATTCATAAGCATAGAAATGATCATGGAATCCATGAGAGCCAATGAGATCACCAAGTATAGGAGCATAGAGGGAGAGGAAAAGATGGCCTAGGGATAAAGCCCTTTGAGGGCACCTACAGTTTGCAAGTATGACCTAAATGAAGATCAAGCAAAAGAGATTGAGGTGTGGTCAGATAAGGAGGAGAATATGGAGACAATGACACTCTAAAACCTAGAGAGAAGAGATTGTCTCCTTTTTTTTCTTCATAAAGCCTAATGGACAAGAAGGAGACTAGAAGTGGCAGGTGGGAGTGGGGTGAGGGGAGAGGCTGGATTATATAAATTCACCAAGGTAGATTTGGTGCTAGGTCAATGGCCAGGCTAAATCAACATCTACCTAAAATGAAGCGTCATTCATATGCCGCAGGCCTCTCTGTTCTTGATCCTGTTTTGTTCAACCTTTTTTTTTTTTTAAATAAATGACTTGGAAACTTAGAGTAAAATGCTAAGAAGAGCTAATTTCTTCCCATACTGCTTAACAGTTTATAAAATGTTTTCCTTACAACTGCCCATGTTGAGAACAGTGCTTTGAACATGGGCGGTTTACTGAGTCTCTAGTAGGACTGGTACTACATCTCCATTTTGCAAATGAGAATGTTAATATTTACAGAATTTAAGCTATTTTAGTTCAAGGTCACCCAGCTAGTTAGAACAAGGTGGAGCTTTGACTTGAACACAGATCTGAGTCAGTCCTGTAATCTTTTTATTCAATCTTATTGATGTTGTCTACAGTTTTGATAAGCATGCCAAGAGGCTGGGGGCGAGGGGAGGAAGCCAATAGAATGGACTGCAGAATAATGATCTAAAGAGTTCTTGTCAGTATGGAATGGTGGCCCAAATCTAACAAGATTTAACAAGGAAAAACATTCTTCCCCTTCCTCAGTTTCTGTAACACCATGTCTGATTTCTCTTTTTCCATTCCCCTCCCAGCCATGGGCATCCCCTAAGTCTTAGGCCTCAGCTCTCTGCTTACACTCTTCTTTATACTTCTCCCACTCCTTCAGAGATAATACTTATCCTTTCTTCACCACTTCAACTACTACAGCCTTTATGCAAATCTTTATTTCCAGTTATTCTTGTATTTAGGCATTTTCACTTTTACATTATCGCCTCAAACTCCCCAATACTGAATGCCAAGTTTATCTTCAACCACACATTACCTACTCCCTGCCAAAAGACAACCACCAACTACCTCCCCTCCAATTTTGCAATGTTGAGAAGCCATGTGATTCAGTGAAGAGAGTGCCAGGGGTTCAAATTGTACAACCTTTCCAATCCCATGAATGAAACTGAAATGTCTAGGTCACAGGATTAATATGAAGAAAGTGTTACTCTTTTATTGTCATATAAGTGAACTGCTATTTTCATTGTTGATTAGGCCTTTATCATTGTCTCAGGCTCAAAATCTGGACTTTCCCCATTCATCTGCCTTTGCTCATCTTCATTAAGTCCTGTACATGCCTCCTCTAAACTTTCTCTTGAACGTGTTCCTCTCCAATCTCACTTATTCCCAAGGCAGTCCTTTGTCCCCATGTCCAAACCATGATGTGGCCAGACTAATAATCTTCCTAAAATATACTTTCATTACTATATTTCCCCTACTCAAAAGCTTCTATTTTCCCTATGTCCTATCCAGTTCAAGTCTAAACTCTTCAGTCTAGTATTCAAGGCTCTACAAAATCTAGCCTCTCTTTTCCTGTCTGACACCATCTTCTACTGCTTTCAAAAGCACCCTGCTCCAGAGTCAGGGTAATTTCCTTATCCTTCCCACCCACCAAATCTTCCTATTTCTGTGCCTTTGTTCATCCTACTTTAAACCAACCTGTCCATATTTTTACCTACTTTTCAAGACTCACTCAAGCCCTTACGTGCTACATCAAGTCTTCCTTACTAACTCTACCCATTCTCCATCATACCCCTTTCAAGCAGCAGCATTTATTTTGTCTTGTTTTTAAAGTGTTTAAAGTTTATTTGTCTCATCCCACCCAATAAGCTTCTTGGAAATAGGAGCCATGTCTTGTGTTTTTATAACTTAACACAATTTGTGGATTACTGTCTATTATTTTATGTACTGAGTCCTTGCTGTGGGTCTAGCATGCACTCGATGAGTACTTAATATCAGTTGATAATGAGGACGTTTGGAGAGACAAATGAATAAAGCAAGTTAAGAATATATCCCAACCCGTCACACATTAACTTGATTCAATTCAATTTAATTTTTTTTCTTTTTTTAAAAAAAGTCACTCTCTAGATGAAGCAAATCAAGATTCTGAAGCTCAATGTTAATTCCATACTTCCTCCAAAAGGTCACACCCTATGGTGGGGAAATTTACCTTCCACTTTTAAGTATCTGTTCTGCGAAGCTGGGCAGTAGTCACGGTAATTTCTCCAGCAATACCGTAACTTCCTGCAAAGGGCGTACGTTTGTCACCAGATCCTGACCCCTTTTTGGCTACATCTTCTATTGGGATAGCAACCGAAAGAAAAACTGGGCTTTGTGGCCTGGGGGCTTCTTGTCCATTCGGAGGAGAGCTACCATTCTGGGGGGCTGGGGGATGTTTCTGGAGTTTCTGCTGTTCTGTAGGAACAGCAATGGGAACTTGGACTGTAGTGAATCTCTTTGAGGGATCGGGCTGTGAAATAACAGCATGTCCAGGAAGAGGTTTCCACTCCTGTGTTTCCTGAACATTTGAGCCTACTAAAATAAAAGGTGGGGCACCGGTCCTCTTGGAGTCGTCCATCATCACATAAGTTGGAGAAGTAACTTTCGGTGGATGCTGCAGAAACTGTGGCTCCTTAGCATTAGATAGATAGAGGGCTGCTTGGGAAAAAGGCCCGGGTGCAGGTGGCGGTGACGGGCGGCTTTGTTGGTTCATATCAGTTAGACAATAAAGGGTCCACATGTTAGAATATGGTGGTGGTTGTCCTGCTTCGCTTGCTGCTATTGCTATAAAAAACAAAAAACAATTTGCAGGCATTAAAGGCGGTCTCTGTATCAAGCACTATGCACAGAAATGTCTTTGCAGTTCTTTTACATATCAACAAGTGAGAATGCTATGTGCCATAAAGCATGCTATAGAGAGGGCTACAAGAATTGTGTTTGGTAACATGAAGAAAAAAGGGGGTTTGGTACAGTTGAAAAAGGAGAACAGCGTTGTGGCTCGTAGCAAGTAGCAGGGACATGAGGGTTGTGGCTAAGGAGGCCCCTTTCATTCCAAGTTCCTGTTTCCTTGTGCTTAAGCAAACTTCAGACATAGCTTCTGCAGAGTCCTCGGAGAGGACTTTGATAATTAAAATCAGTTTTATAAAAATATCAGCTGAGAAGGGTGCTGAGCTATTGAAAACAACATCAGTGCCATCATTGCACCTGCAGAATGACGTTTTCCTTACTGAGAGAAGTCAGCACTGGGGGCCATCTTTTGGTCACTTTTACCAAACAACAGTGTATATAATTCTGGCTACCCACGGGCACCAACTATCTCCCCATTCATACGACTTTGCATATGAAATCACCCATGCTCCCTGACTCACTGCCCCGGAAAGCACCTCCAACCTAGGCAGGGTTTGAAATGATAGATCCAGAGTGGCAGTCAAACAATCTGCTGAGGTCCCACTAGGGCCCTCCCTTCAAAGAAGAAAGACGTCCAGAGATTTGGCAGATTATCTACTACCCCACAAAGTCTATCATGTCAATTCTGGTTTGCCTAGAGGAGACATGGGCTGTCTTGGGGAACTGAGTCCCAGAACAGGGGAAGGGACAAAGAGGACCCAATGTTTCCAAAAGAGAGAGGTACCAGAGTTTTGCTTTACTCGATATGCTGACTTCATCTTTAGCACACTGGGGATTTACTCCCTAATGCAGCCATCTTTCAGTAAAGGAAAAGCCCCATTATGCATATGGTTAGAATGATGTTTTCAATAGCCAAGGACATGTTTTCAACTGATCTTCTGTTAAACATACATATATACGCAAATGCCAAGTCTTCCTTTTAAACAACAAAATAGTCAGAGTTATCAGAGTCCTAGGGAAACACCTGGGATAAATGTCAAGTTTTTTTTGGTTTTTCTTTTTCTTTTTTTTTTTTTTAAAGCACTGGATATTCTGATAACTCAATCTCAATGAGTAAACATATCCTTCTTAGAGCTGATGATAATAAAACCTGATCAAATGTCAGCTCAAAAGTGTGGACATTTTTTCTCCTTTAAAAATACTTAAACACTTGAAGACAGGAACTTGGGATGGAAGTGCCACCTAAAGCCACAAGCCTAATGACCGTCCCACATGCTACCCAGCCCCAGCCCTGTGCTTTACTTTTGCATCAGTACTGAACCCCTTTCATATTGCCAAACAGAATTGGATATTTTTCTAAAAACCTGCTTTTTGCTAACACTTCTCCTAGTCACACCTGGCTCCCTTAGGAACCCAGGTTGAGAGAGATTCTGCAGAAAGGAATGGGAGGACTGGATCATGCATGTCCCTTCCCTAAAGAAAAAATTAAAAGACTTCTGCAACTGTCGTAAAGGAGGTGCAAACTTCCTCCTTCTATAGTTAAATGGAGAGGAAGGACAAATTGGTGCACCAGGGTGGTATCACGAGAAATGATCTGGCAGCTGAGAAGACAGCTTGATGTTAGTATGCCTCAGGAGAGGCACAGAGACGAAGGCTAGTTACCTCAACCACAGCAATCCTTGAACAAAAACCTGGCTGTCCTTTTAGCTACCAAAACGATCTGTGATGCCTCCAATAATTAGTGTTCGCCTCAACTTTTCCTCTCTCCATACAACTGTTATGTTGCTTACTCAGCTGCAGAAGGCTCCCAGAGTGCAGGGGGGACAGGGAAACTTAGTGCCTAACCCACTTCCTCCGACTCAGATGCAGAATTCTCCCAACCCAGTGCGAAAGCAGTTGAACTCACCACCATTTCCCCCCCCCATTTCTGAAGAGGAGGTTTAAATGCCACCACCTATGTAAATGCATTGCAATAGAAGATATTTTACTTTACAGGAGTGAGAAATTTCAAACTGATAGTCAAGTCCTTAACCGCACCCTTCATTCAGTTTTTGTTCTTTCAATTGATGAGCCCCACAAATGTGCAGCATGGCTAACCTGGCATTCTGGATTCAGTTTTTAAAATCCTCATTCCTGTGAATGTAAAATCTCAAACCATAACAAAGCATTTAAAAGGAATTGACATTTAAAAATACACAATGAAAGTTAAAGACCTTACAAACCAGATTTCAGAGAGCTAACATGCCACCTATAATATAAAATGCATAAATATCTAATTTTCTTACCTTGTGGCACCAAACCTTCTTCAGGCGCTGCTTCCCCTTCGAGTTCCCCTTCTGGCTCATTTTCCATTTCAGTAAGACCTTCTGGGACATGAAGGGCCTCACTAGCTGCAGTTTTTACAGATACCCTGGAGCGTACTGATTTTGGAGTTGCCCCAGAAGTGACATTTGCAGTTTCCTCCAGGGATGCAGAACTGACCCTTGATTCAGAGTGAATGGATTTTGGAGACCCTTCAGCATGCACAGATTTTGCAGACCCCTCAGCAGCCACAGATTTTTCAGAACCTTCAGCGTGTACAGATTTTACTGACCCCTCAGTGTGCACGGATTTTATAGACCCCTCAGCAAGAACAGATTTTGCAGAACCTTCAGCATGCACGGATTTAATAGAACCCTCAGCATGCAAGGATTTTACAGACCCCTCAGCATGAATGGACTTTGGAGACCCCTCAACATGCATGGATTTTGAAGACCCTTCAGCATGCAAGGATTTTACAGACCCTTCAACATGCAGGGATTTTACAGACCCCTCAGCATGCAGGGATTTTGCAGACCCTTCAGCAGTATGCACCGATTTTACAGACCCTTCAGCAGTGTGCACGGATTTTACAGACCCCTCAGAATGCAAGGATTTTGCAGACCCCTCAGCTTGCAGGGATTTTGCAGAACCCTCAACTTGCAGGGATTTTGCAGACCCTTCAGCAGTGTGCACGGATTTTACAGACCCCTCAACTTGCAGGGATTTTACAGACCCTTCAGCAGTGTGCATGGATTTTACAGACCCCTCAACTTGCAGGGATTTTACAGACCCTTCAGCAGTGTGCATGGATTTTATAGACCCTTCAGCAGTGTGCACAGATTTTACAGACCCTTCAGAAGCGTGCAGGGATTTTGCAGACCCTTCAGCAGCATGTACGGATTTTACAGACCCTTCAGCAGTGTGCACGGATTTTACAGACCCTTCAGCAGTGTGCAGGGATTTTGCAGACCCTTCAGCAGTGTGCACAGATTTTACAGACCCTTCAGAAGTGTGCAGGGATTTTGCAGACCCTTCAGCAGTGTGCACGGATTTTACAGACCCTTCAGAAGTGTGCACGGATTTTGCAGACCCTTCAGCAGTGTGCACGGATTTTACAGACCCTTCAGCATGCAGGGATTTTACAGACCCTTCAGTAGTATGCAGGGATTTTGCAGACCCTTCAGCAGCGTGCAGGGATTTTACAGACCCTTCAGCAGTGTGCAGGGATTTTACAGACCCTTCAGCAGTGTGCAGGGATTTTGCAGACCCTTCAGCAGTGTGCAGGGATGTTACAGACCCTTCAGCAGTGTGCAGGGATGTTACAGACCCTTCAGAAGTGTGCACGGATTTTGCAGACCCTTCAGCAGTGTGCACGGATTTTACAGACCTTTCAGCATGCAGGGATTTTACAGACCCTTCAGCAGTATGCAGGGATTTTGCAGAGGCCTCCTCATGCAGAGACCTTGCAGAGACCTCCTCATGCAGAGACCTTGCAGAGAACTCCTCATGCAGAGACCTTGCAGAGGCCTCCTCATGCAGAGATCTTGCAGAGGCCTCCTCATGCAGAGACCTTGCCGAGGCCTCCTGCTGAGGTTCTATCTCTGCCTCTCCATTAGCTGAGAGTCCTGATTTTGCAGAGGATATTGATGGCCCATGTTTTACAGGCTCCTCTAAGGGTGTAGATTTTGTAGAGGCTACAGATTTTGCGGAGGCTACAGATTTTGCAGAAGCTATAGATTTTTCAGAGGCTACGGATTTTGCAGAAGCTATGGATTTTTCAGAGGCTACGGATTTTTCAGAGGCTACAGATTTTTCAGAGGCTATGGATTTTGCAGAGGCTACGGATTTTTCAGAGGTTATGGATTTTTCAGAGGCTACGGATTTTGCAGAAGCTATGGATTTTGCAGAGGCTACGGATTTTTCAGAGGCTACGGATTTTGCAGAAGCTACGGACTTTGCAGACACCATGGAGGCTGTCTTGTGAGCTATCTGAATTTGGCTCTCTGATGGTGGCTGCTCAGTCTCATTAAGACTTGCCATTGGTTCATCAAAAGGGAGTATTATGTGCTCCGATATTTGCTCTACAAAAGCTGCTCCTTCGGTCTCAGGCTCATGAAATTCAGGTGAAACACATTGAATGGTTGATGTTATTTCGATATCAGCCTGGAAAGGGACGTCAGGAGCTTGATCGTGAGCAGGAAGGTCTTGTTCACCCTGCAAGGGGAGTGAGGAAGCCGAGGATGTTTCGGCCTTAGTTTCAGCCTTAGCTTCTTTGGAACCTAACGCTATACGGATCGATGTCTGACTCAGAAGCTGAGGAGTTAAATCTGAAAGGCAGGCGGAGGAACTGTCTTCAGTAGCCTCTAGGGACATGTACATATCGGCAAAAGAAGGCATACTGGTTGCCACATCCACCATTAACACTTCAGAATGAACAGATGAAACGTTACCTAACATCTGGGCAGCTAGCTGTGCTGGGTCAGCTGGAACGTAGGCAAATTCCGGCGAAGCAGCTGTAAGTGGAGATGGTGAGGAAGGTGGGGTGGATGCCTTGGGGGTGGAGGCTTTGGGAGAGGGCTCACTAACTGAGTCGGCTGTCTCCTCGGGCTCTGTGAGTTCAGCGTGAGCTGATGGGAACTGGGTGGTCTTGTTGCTAAACAACGGGCCCGTGATGTTGTCCTCCTCCGTGTCAGTAGACTTCTCTTTCCGTTTTGGTTCTTCAGAAAACAGAGATGACGGCTCTTGCTCTTTCACAGTCTCTGGTTTCTTCTCCTGCATTCCTTCTGACCATTTCTCTACTAAATAAACACAACAAAAGAAGGGTTAAAAGTAAGTTAGCAGGCATGCCCCTATTCTCCCCCCACCCAAAGACTTTATAGCTTCATTTAGGACATAATGGAACATTTATAGTCCTTCAAACTCACATGAATGCCAAGGGTTTGACCATCTCTTTGGACAACTGAATCAGTATTCAATGTGACATTTTCCTGCCATTCCTCAATGAGCCTCTCAAATACTTTTCTAGTTAAGACATACTAACAATTTATATTTACATGTAGTTAAGACATAATAACAATTGATATTAACATGACACTTCATAGATTACAAAAAGCACACTGGGATACATTATCTCATTTAATCCTTGCACCACCACCCTTTGTGAGGCAAGTTTATCTGCTATAATAACATGGGGGAATAAACAATGGTATAAACTTTGTTGTCATCAGGAAAACAACCCCAAGCTTTTGTCCAAATACATAACAAGTTGGAGGGGGGCAGCTAGATGGAGCAGTGGACAGAGGGTCCAGGCCTGGAGTCAGGATCTGATCTCAGACACTTACTAGCTGTGGAACCTTGGGCAAGTCACTTAACAGTGTTTGCCTCAGTTTTCTCATCTGTAAAATGAACTAGAGAAGGAAATGGCAAAAAACTCCAGTACCTTTGCCAAGAAAACCCCAAATGGGGGTATGAACAGTTGGACATAACTGAAATGACCCAACAACAACAAATCATAAACCTTGTCATCATCAGGAAAACCACCACAAGCTTGTATGCAAAAGTTGTAAACTTACAAGGAAAAGAAACTACTGACCACATTTAGCAATATACAGTAATTAGGTGAGTAGGGGTGGGACTTCCTTTGCCTGAGACCTTAAAAAAACCTCTCTTGTTTCATTCTTCCATTGATTATAAATGTTAATTGCTATTGATGAGAATCAATCACATTTATGAATGTCAGGCAGTGTATTAGGTGCTGGGCAAAAAAACACAAAAGCAAGACAATCTTAAGTAAGGTGGATTTCGTTATTCTTTTTTTAGATAACAGTTCCCAAGATCATAGATAGTAGTTTTCCCAGGATCCACTGCCAACACAGTCTACTAGTTTCCAGGATCATGGTTATAAACAATTTCTACTGCAATTGCACAGTGAAGTATAGGAGTGAGATAATTTAAAATTGTGTGGCTATTGTTGGCAAGTTGCCTTCTTTGTGTGCCTCTCTAAAAATCAAGAGAGCACTGGTCAGTGAGTGGGGATTTGTGCATGTGCTTACCTCAACTGGCCTCCACTGAGGTTGAGGGAGAATATGCAAGCTAGAATGCTGTGTGTGCTAACATCTAGGGGAGTGCACCAGCTGGAATGCTGTGACCTGTCTCCACTGGCCCCCATCAAGACATAGGGGTTGTTGCCTCCCTTTGATTAGTGGATCCTAGTAGCAATTGGTGCTCCTGTTATCAGGAACCCATTGAGAAGAATAAATTATCATATAACCCCTCATGATTTCTCCGTCGATGTCCTTCTGGCTGCCCAGATCAAGAGTGAACCTGCTAAGGTTGGAGCCCAAAACTACCTAACAATTAGTGTAGTCAGTGTTTCCTGTACTACAGGCTTACTCTGTAGTGTAATGATAATGCTATTGTTAACAAAAGTGTCTCAACCCTTCATTTTAAGGAAATTTGTTTGTACAAAATTCTGAATTTAGAGAACTGACAGAGTAAGACACTAATTTGTTTTACAAAACATTAAGACTAAAACATTAGGGAATTTTCAGGCCAACAGATGATGACACCTCCTGGTAGACTGTAATACTGTTGCCTACCTAAGGGGATAAGAGGTTACTAAACCAAGATAAAAGAAGCAAGAAACCAGCTATATTCTGGAAACTGTAAGTATGGAATCAAAAGTATCTCCAGATTGGAATAAAATAGAAAAATGCTTGAAAGCATTTCCTTTTTTTTTTTTGTTTATATCTTCTGTTTATTTTTTATTAATTTAATTTATCAACAATCACTTCCATAAGCTTTTGAGTTTAAAATTTTTTCTCCCCTTCCCTCCCCAAGATAGCATGTAATCTGATATAGGCTACAGGCTATACATATACATTCCTATTAAAAATATTTTCATACTAGTCATGTTGTAAGGAAGAATTAGAACCAATAGGAGGAACCACAAGAAAGAGAAAACACAACAAAACAGAAGAAAAAATAGAAAATAGTATCCTTCTATCTACATTCAAACTCCATAGTTCTTTCTTTGGATGTGGATAGCATTTTCCATCGTGAGGCCTTTGGAGATGTCTTAGATCCTTGTATTGCTGGGAAGGGCTAATTCTATCAACATTAGTCATCACACAATGTGGCTGTTACTGTGTACAATGTTCTCCTGGTTCTGCTCACTTCACTCAGCATCAGTCCATACAAGTCTTTCCAGGTTTTTGTGAAGTCTGCCTGTTCATCATTTCTTATAGCACAGTAGTATTCCATTACATTCATATACCACAACTTGTTCAGCCATTCCCCAATTGATGGGCATTTCCTCAATTTCCAATTCTTTGCCACCAAAAAAGAGATGCTACTTCTTCCCTCCCCCTGCTATCTACCCCCCTCCTTTTTCTTTCCCCTTTCCCTTCCTACTTCCTTATAGGGTAAGTTAGATTTCTTTATCTAACTGATTATGTTATTCCTTCTTTGAGCCAAATCTGATGAGAGTAAGGTTTAAACAATGCTCATCTCTCCCTCCCTTCTTTCCCTCTACTGTAATACGGTTTTGCCTTTTTCATGCGATGTAATTTACCCTCGTCTGCTTCCTCCTTTCCTCTTTTCCCAGAACAATCCCTTTTTACCACTTAATTAGATTTTTATCATCACATCTGTCTTTGAATACTCCTTTTAAATGTCATAATATTTCAGGAGTTACAAGTGTCATTTTCCCTTATAGGGATGGATGTAAACAGTTTTCCCTTATCAATAACATGTTGTTTTTCTTTCCTGTTTACCTTTTTATGCCTCTCTTGAATCTTGTATTTGAAGATCAAATTTTCTGTTGAGCTCTGGTGTTTTCATCAGGAAGGTTTGGAAATCCCCTATTTCACTGAATATCCATCTCCTCCCCTGAAATATTATGCTCAATTTCGCTGGGTAGTTGATCCTTGGTTGTAATCCAAGCTCCTTTGCCTTATGGATGCCCTCCAATCTTTTAATGTAGAAGCTGCAGGGTCCTGCGTAATCCTGTGGTTCCATGATATTTAAATGGTTTATTTCTGATTGCTTGCAGTATTTCCTCTTTGACCTGGTAATTTTGGAATTTGGCTGCTATATTCCTTGGCGTTTTCAATTTGGGATCTGTTTCAGGAGATGATTGGTGGATTCTTTCCATGGCTATTTTACCCTCTGGTTCTAGGATCCCAGGGCAGTTTTCCTTGATGATTTCCTGAAAGATGCTGTCCAGGCTCTTTTTTTCATCATGGTTTTCAGGTAGACCAATATTTTTTACATTGTCTCTCCTGGATCTATTTTCCAGGTCAGTTGTTTTACCAATGAGGTATTTTATGTTTTCTTCTATTTTTTCATTCTTTTGTTTCTGTTTGACTGATTCTTGATATCTCATAGAGTCATTAGTTTCCACTTGCCCAATTTTAATTTTTTTTTTCTTTTTAAGCAGGCATAGTTCAATTTATTTGTTTATAAAAAACATCTATGTGGTTGCCACAGCAGCTGCCTGAGTCCTCTGGACACTCGAGTGTGAGTCTTCACAAGATGGTCAGTGAATTCCTGATAGGGAGACTTAGTAAACACAGTCTCTTTTCACAGGTCTGGGGTTAGGTAGCTGTATGTTTTGGAGATGGCATCAAAGGTAGCTTTAGCAAAGTTGCCCAGAGTGGCAGTACAGCCTCTTGCAGAGGTGTAGCAGTCATCAATTCCAGCCATCATCAGGAGCTTCTTAGGCATGGGAGCTGAGACGATGCCAGTATCTCTAGGGGCGGGGATCAGGCGCACCAAAACCGATCCACATGGCCCAGTGACCTTGCAGGGCACTGTGTGAGGCTTGCCAATCTTGTTCCCCCAGTAGCCACGTCTCACAGGAACGATGGACAGCTTGGACAGAATGATAGCACCACGAATAGCTGTGGCCACTTCCTTGGAGCACTTGACACTCAGGCCAACATGGCCATTGTAGTCACTGATGGCCACAAAAGCCTTGAACCTGGTACGTTGTACAGCTCTAGTTTGTTTCTGAACAGGCATTATCTTCAGAACCTCATCTTTCAATGAAGATCCCAGGAAGAAATCTATGATCTCAGACTCCTTGATAGGAAGGGAGAAAAGATAGATCTCTTCCAAAGACTTGATCTTCATGTCCTTGACTAGTCGGCCCAGCTTAGTGACAGGAACCCACTCCTTGTCTTCGGCCTTTCCTCCCCGGGCCCCGACCTTGACCTCGGCCCCCGCTGCCGAAGCCACCGTGGAAGCCACTCCGGGGCCCCTAGGGCCTCCCACTCCTCCCGCAGCACCGGCGTCATCCGCCATTTGGTGTTCACCAGAAGTAGAAGCGCCCAATTCTAATTTAATGAATTGTTTTCTTCTATTACATTTTGTACCTCCTTTTCCATTTGGCCAATTCTACTTTTTAAGGAATTGATTTCTTCAGTGTATTTTTTTTTTACCA